ACTAAGAGGAAGATGCCAACATGAAAAAGCTACATATTCTAGGGTAACATTCTGGAAAAGGCAAAACTATGAAGACAGTAAAAAGACAGTGGTTGCCAAGGGTTAGCAGCGAGGAAGGAAGGCAGAACACAGAGGATTTTTAGGAAGTGAAACTGTAGCATCATATTATGATACTATAATGGTGGATACTTGTCATTATACATTTTTTAAAACCTCACAGAATGTACAAAACCATTTACAAAAACAATGTAAACTATGGACTTTTGGTGACAATAATGGTGTCAATATAGGTTTGCACATCATAACAAATGTAGCACTCTGGTGCTAGATGCTGATAGTAGGGAGGCTATACATGTGTAGCGGGTAGAGAGTAAACAGGAACTCTGTACTTTCCACTCACTTTTGCTGTGAACCTAAAACTGCTCTAAAAAATGAAATCTGTTTTTAAAAAAGGTATAATTGACACTTTAGTTGGTTTTTAATATCTGGTTTGAAGTTCTCTGCTTGGGGAGAGGATCAATATATACCTATCTTTGTAAAGAAATTATTATAATTAAATTGAATATGCAGTGTTTTCATACTTCATTTTAAAGATAAATTTAAAAAAAGGAAGTGATCTAAGTACAGTTGGAACATTTCTAAAACTGGTTCAGAGCTTCTCTTTACACAAATTCTCACATTTTGGGAATGAGATGGTAGATGCACACTGATTAAATGAACTTTGTTTGAAAACAGAAGAGAATTTGGGGCGCCTGGGTGGTTCAGTTGCTTGAGTGTCCAACTCCTGGTTTTGGCTCAGGTCCTGATCTTATGGGTCATGGGATCCAGCCCTGTGTTGGGTTCCACGCTCAGTGGGAGTCTGCTTGGATATTCTCTCCTTCTGCCCCTTCCCCCACTCGCATGCTCTCTCTCTTTCAAACAAATAAATCTTTAAAAAAGAAAAAAACAGAATAGAATTTGATAACTCGAAAGATTCTTAGAAATATTTGGTCAAAGCCCCTCATCTTATAAATAAGGAAAATGAGGCTCAGAGAAGCTACATAATTCTTCCCAGGACCCCAAGGCTATTTAAGACAGAAGGACTAGAACTTTGGTATTCTAAAGTTTCATGGCTGCTTTTTCATTATATTATCATTCAAGAAAACAAAATTGTGTTAGATTTCTTAAAGTTCAGAGAAGTAAATTTTTTTTCTTCTTCCATTTTAAGAGGATATGAATCCAATTAGTGTATTTTTTGGCTGATAAGCACTCACTCAAGCTCTGCCCACTTACTCATTTATTCTGCCTGCTTGATTTTTCCCAGAGGTCATTTAAAAAGAAAATCATGTTTTCGTAATTCTAAGAGCCAAAGAAAATGTTTTACCATGAAAGTGAATATAAAACCCACGTGTGGGTTATTACTAAAGCAAGGGCTATGCTCCCCATCCCACTATTGTTGGTCAGAATTTAGAATCCTGCTCTACCTCTAACAGAGGTAAAAATCCACCCTTGGTGGGAGCAGCTGTGACTCTGTGAAAGCTGCTACAAATAACATGCTGGGAAATTCAGCAGGCACTGTTATTATATCCTGTTTATACTGTCATTTTTCCTATCAGTAGGATATTATTTATACAGACCCCACCCATGAACTTCTTGTTTATCTTATTATAGAAATCCTCCAAATCTATAAAAAGAAGCCTCTGTATTTGTTTCTGGAACAAGCACATGTGTTATAATTTTGCACCTCACTACACTTTTTTTATTTAGCATTTTCTTCTGTTATGCCCATTCTTTTTATCTCAAGGTTGATTTATTTCATTATTTCACATATTAGAGTTGAACTTAACTTTTTAAAAGACTCCATTATAGGACAGAGATTCTGGAGTGCCACATCTTAAACTTTATATCTGGGCTAGATTTCATCAGGTAGATATTCTTCTAAGATACACTTGATTAATTTGTTTAAAGACAAAAACATGCCTATGTACTGAGATCAGGTACCCATAATGAATGAATCCTAAATGCCTAGAAGGCTTCCTTACATAGGCTACCTATGCCAAGTATGCCAATTACGAGGGCCAGGCTTTATACTGGTTCTCACCAACTCACTATTCTGTAGCTGGATCTCTTTTCTAGAATGAAAAGCCCTGTCCCTGAGTCTAGCTTGATGGCTGGATGGGCCGGGTGAAAATGTAACATGATAATACAGGAGAAATACATGAATTCACTAAGTTGATCAATGAGACAATGAAGCAATGTGGCTATAAATCATTTCACTCCCCTGCCTTATGTAAATAATTGAATTAAAGCAGATAGGAGTAAAATGGGATTCTTTAAGGGCAGAAACTCACGCAGCGTTTGTTGAGCAAATAAATATTTCTGGAGAGGGAACGTCACTGGACAGTCATATTGGATAAATTTTCATATGTATAGCTTGTGTTAGCTTCACTAAAATTCCCTTTACCCTACAAGACAGCGCTACAAGGCAGTTAGGTAAATATGAAATCTTCAGAGAGCATGTACAATGCTAGACTCTTTCAGGATGTATAAGAAAGATCGCTGTATTTAAAGAACATTACTCTAAAATGCATAACTGAAATGAGGCTTAGTACCTAAGCGTGGTGAACTTAGTGTAACTGCTTTCAGAAAAAAAGAGAGGTCTACAAGAGCTAAAGAGATCAGAGAAGTCAGATTGAGGATAATAACAGGTAACTTTGATAAACAGGATTTTATAAGGCTGAGGTGAGAAGGGGAAAGGCATCCTAGGTACAAACGATTTGTAAGCATCCAAGTGAGGAGAATTCTGAAAATTGGCAAGTACCTAAATTTAGCTAGGGAGAATACTGAATACAAGATGACAATAAAAAGGAGGCTGGAGTCAGACTATAAGGAGTTTCATTTTTCAGACAATGGAAAACTATCAAAGATACCTGATTACGGGAAAATGCACCCAAGCTTTTCGAGTAGGAATGAAGAGGAAGAATAAGCTGGACTGAGGTTGAAATGGAGGATGAAGTTTTTAACAGTACCAAATCCTATGGTTATGGCAGCAAAAGAAAGGTCTATGTGATAAACAGATAATAAATGTGTAAAAATATTTTCAAAAACAGGAGATGGCATCATGATGACTCTTTTTGAGTGGGACAATGTTAAAACTATGCCAATCCACTGAAATTAATGTTGGGAAAGCTTACCAATCTCCTAGAATAGTACTTCTCAAACCCAAAGTACCTGGGGATCTGATTAAAATTAAAATGCAAATTCTGATTCAGTACATGTAGGGTGGTACTCTGTATCTTTACATTCTAACAAGCTCCAAATAATGCAAGATGCTGAAACATCTTTCAGTTTCCCTTTCCAAAAAGGCAATGCTACTATGTTTAATCCATTATGGTATAACTAGTCCTTTTAGATATTCCTAAGAAATTCCATTTAAAGGTATTTTATTATAATTTGCATCAAAGTCAGATGGGTTTCAAAACCTACTATTTTAAAAGTACAAGATGATTCAAGATTCAGAGTATTCAAGATCCTCAGAAATATTTCCACCTGGAAAAAAAAAATCAACTATATAATACTGTTCTATAACACTACAATTTTGTTCTTTTTTGTAGGCTGGCAAAATAGAAGATACTATTGCTTCTAATCTCGGAGGCAAAGTAAAAGCCCTAAAAGACAACACTCCATCTTTTCATAGTGCACATCACTGGGTTTTGGTAAAACCCACTTAACTTGCCCCTATAGTGCCCTTAGCATATTCCTTGATCCTTGAAGATAAAGGTAAAAATTTATTTTAAATATTCTATTGAAAATTACAAAAATTAAATTCACACATCATCCCTCTGTTTAAGATTTCTGTATGGAAGGAAATGCCTTTTATTAAAATCTTTTACCATGAACAGAGGCATCATTTATAAAAATATATTACTAGTGTTATATATTATACACACATACATGTATTAAGATTGGCTGACCTTAGATTCTTGGGATGAAATTTAAGACTTCTGAAGTCTCAAGTTTCATTTTTAACCATATTGATGGTCAATAACAACCTTTTAGGTAAATTAGCTTTAATATATATTGATGTCTAGAGAACAGAAATGATATCTTAAAATTGGAAGGTACTATACGATCAGATCCAACTATTTCATTGTAGAAGTAAGAAAGTGAGGTCCAGAAGCTAAAAAGCCCAAAGTCACATAGCTGCTAATGGCATGTTAAAAAAGGGTGGGAGGAGGAAAAATATAATTTTCATGTCTATTAATGTGCAACACACAACAATGTAACTACACAAAATGTAGTTACAAGAGTTTCTGGTTCCTCTCATGACTAGGGTATAGTTGATTTTATTAAGGTCTTATAAACCATTGATATCCATGAAAGGAAGACTACATACCAACAAAGAAGACATGCTACCCCAAAATTTAATAACTCCATAAAAAATGCAATCTGAATAGAGAATGATACATATACATTCCATACTCAAGATGGGGCTGTGGTGGGGTGGGTAATGGGATGGGATAAAAAGAACAAAGAGAAGACAATGATAACTCTTATCTTCTCAGTAATGGTTTGAGGAAAGCTTTCACATACAGAAAGGTGGTTAAAAAAAAACAAAACTTCCTTTACTCTCACGAATCATTTTTTCATTGGTAAAATCAGGAATTAGGAGGACTGTAAAGCTTTTAAAAATATGAAATGTAAATAGCAGTTGGATGTGCATGTGTCATGAGCTCTGTCACAATGACAAGAAAACCAGAGAACCCTTTTTAAGCCATAAAATGGGAAATTTTGTGCTTATCACAAATGCTATAAAATTTACTAGCACAAGTAAAAAAAAAAAATCACTGGAGAAGTTCCATGATATCAGAGACAATGGGTTTTAAATCACAGGCATACATTATTATGCCTAAGTTGACAGGTCTGCACTGCAATGCAGAAATGCAAGCAATATTCCAACATCTGCACCAGAAGGCAGAGACTAGACATGATTCCAGAATAAAGGGCTCTTCAGCTCTTACCTGTTACCTGTGCAACAACTGCTTGGGAAATCCTCCGATTGGCAAGAAAGGCTTTGATTTCCTCTTTTATCACACTGCTGTCCCTCCTAACAAAAACAGAAGACAAGACCAACAATGTATGTTGAAGGTAGAAATCCTCATCTTTGCTAAGAAAGGTGAAGCAGAGAGGTGGGGAGAACATAGAAAGAAAGGACACAAAAATAAAGGTAAACAGACCAAGCTTGTGTGAAAATATGAAATTAAAACAAACCAAGAAACACCAAATATTCAAGTCCTAAAACATCACACCATCAGACAGACGCTTTAGTGAATACCACAGGAGATATAAGTCTCATACCAGAGGATGGTTAATCGCATGCTGTGTATAATTCATATTAGGAACAAGGCTGCCATATGGTATATACAAAGTTTCATTACTGAGGAATGAATATACCTTACACAGACAGAAACCCTAGAAAAATAAATAGCAACAACAAAAATCAGTTGTGAGTAGATTGTGGGCTTGCAGATTAACTCTATAACTGCATAAATATTTTGTTCAGTAATTTTAAAACCTTTGTTAAAGGACCAGAAATCATCATTATTCTTACAACTGCTAAAATATCAACCATTTTAAGAAATTTAATTTGCCTTCTTTTTCCTATTAAACCAAAAAAAATTTAAGTGGGATGAGGTGAATATATAATTTTAACATAAAAAAGGCACTTATACATTTCCTATTATATGTAATATATAGAATATTTAAAACTATGTTATATTTTGTCCTTGAGATTACATATCATAGACCTAATTTTTCCTCCACTAGACAACAGCAAATTCTCAAGACTAGACATTCACTAGAATAACAATGAAAGTCAAGACTTCTATTTCTCCATCAGGACAAATACTTAAGTAAAACTTAAACTTAAACCCTTAAAACCAATCAATTTCTCTTTGAATGCTTTATGTTCAAAAGGATTACATAAGTAAAGCACTGATTTTTCATCAAGCTCAAAAGTAACACAGAAGAGCAGTAATTTATAATCTCATATAGGGTCAGCAAACTATGGCTAAATCTGGTCTCCCATCTGTTTTTACACAACCTATGAGCTAAGAATGGTTTTCACAGATGAACACTTGCAATCATTACTTGGTGACAGAGAATACTAACTTTGAACATGAATTAAGCAAAGTATTATATCCTCCCCAGCAAAAATTCCATTCTTCTCATTAGTAGACCTATATTTTAAAAACTATATTCAATTACTATTATTCTATACTAAATTTTGTCAGTAAAAATTTGTGATCCTTTTGTTTTATCTTAGCTGTAAGTATGTGTATTATATCCTCAATTTTGCCTCTTGGCCACAAAGTGTAAAATGCTTACCATCTAGTCTTTTCCAGAAAAAGTTTGCTGACCCTTGATCTGAGACAAAGGGATCATGAAATCTTCACAAATCATGTTGTAAATGAACCACAAACTTCTTAAAGGGAGCTCAAGTTTCTTTAAAGATTATTTGAAGCAACGAAAGAAAAGATCCTATCCAAAAAGAATCAGCTGTGATTTGAATTAGAGCAGATATTTTAGCCCCTTGGTGAGGAGGGGCTATACATTCTGTTGGTGGATTCCATGTTCCCTTTCAGGAATTCTGGAAAGTGGCAGAGAAGCGATAGTTAGGGACAACTTTCAATCTGAAGCTCTACAGTACATTCCTGATCTACTGGTTGGAAATCCTAATCAAAAAGATTCCTAGAGAAAGAAAATAGTCAGCTGCCTAATCCAATATTTAAAATTTCTCATACTCATCTAGATTCTGATCTAGATGCCAGCTAGATTCTTTCCAAAACTTTCACTTGTTTATATTTGAAGTATTTCTTTGAAAAATATGCATTCTCATTTTATTTAAAAATTGTGTATCTGAAAGAAAAAGGCACAAATAAATACACTTTAAAGTCAAATAAAACAAACTGCTCAGTAAAATACAGGTAGTATAGGCCAAATGGCTCTCAAATATCCACCAATAATCAGCTGAGCAAGAGATAACTTCAGCAGTATGAATTTCATTTGCTTTATGTAAATAAAACAACCAAATCATTCAGTTTCTGATATAACTTCAAAATTAATCTGAAAAAATTTAAAGAAAGCACTGCATTGCAATACATAGACTATTCTTCTAGGAAAGTGAAAACTGAGTTTAAGAGAATATTTATTAAGGTTAAACAAAAAATGTGCTTTTGTAGGGAAAATGATTAAATGGTACTTTTTTGACTACTGATTTAAATTGGAATTTAAATCAATTTATTTTAAATCAAATTCACCTACAGTAGACACTAAATCATAAAGAGGACATAACACTCAATTATTCCAATAGGAAATATCCATTTTGTGAATTATTCACAGCTTTGCAGTATGATATTATCAAGGACTGCATTGAGACAGAAGGAACTTCAGAAAGTCTGCAAAACAGCAGCAATTCACTTACCCTCTCATAGACTATATTTTTAGATACTTGGCAAGTTTGTAAGTACCCACGATGAGTTAAAAAACAATAATAACAAAACCTCTTTTGTCAGCTGCTTTACCAGAGAGAAGCTTTTTCAAATCGAACAAAAACGTAAGACTTAAAAAATAAGGTTATGCTTGGGCAAGTCATTTAATATAGCTGGACCCTGGTTTCATCATCTAGTAAAATGAGAACAATAAGACCCTCATCACAAGACTCTTAAAATTGTTCTCCACACACTGAAATTAAATTTAAATGAAATATAGTATTAAATGTGTGCATATATGTGTGTGTATAATAAATAAAATAAAAAATCCTTCAATGTAAAAATTTTTGTAACTGTAAAAGCATTCAATAAACAATGACTATTATTTTATAAAACCCCAGAAAGAATTCCAGGTAAAGAAAAAACAAATGATCTGCTGTAACTACCTATGACTGAAGTAAACACCTGCATGAGGTACTTTAAGGCACCATGGAAAGATTTCTATGAAGTCAATTTAGACACAAGCAATGATGTGTCATCTAGTTATTTTCACTAGGTACACGTAACCCCTGCTTTCTGAAAGTTTGCATTATGCCACTCTGCTTTTATAAAAGACCAACATTAGTATGGTAACAGCATTTTTTTGTAAAAGTAAAAATCCCCTTCAGATTTCTATCTGTTAGTGAAAACAGGTACTAATGGAGGCTTTCCTAAAAGTGAAGTGGTATAACTCAAGCTTTCAGAAAATACAGAAAATACAGAACCTGTATTTTCAAGACAGTAGTAGTATTCAACTTTCACTTGTGTCCAATTCTCTTGTGATTTCAAAGACCTCCATTCTACAGGGTTAACTTGTTCTTTAAACTTTCAAATATCCCCCCTCATTCAGTCTCCTTTAACAAGTTGCCTCTCCTATTGTCCACATCGTAACTCTGTGAAGTGACCAGTTTCTTGGTGTGAAAACCCCTTCGTTTACTCCAAATCTAATTTTCATATACTCTCCTACTACTTACTTTCTCCCTTTATTTGAAATTTTTCATCCTTTTTAAAAAGAATGAATCCCTTTTCTTCACTTCTCTTTTTTGTGAGTACTAATTTTTTCAAGTTTTTATTTTAATCACCCAGCACTCATCACAATTCACTTCTTATAAAATCTCACATTCCTCATGATTTGTATTCCTCAAGTCTTATGAAATTAAAGTGAAATACAAGCTGATCTTTCTTTGATTCCATAGCTTACTTCCAAGATAAGCTACCAGTCTATTTGCATCAAACCACTTAAAATCCATGTCATCTCCTCCTACCACCTGTTCCAAATCACAGCCATGTTGAATTCTTCTCTCTGGGTGCTTTCCACACGAAGATAAAATTCTTCCTTTCCACCCTCCATTGCCATTATTTTTATAACTTGCTAAACTTTCCATTGTTATCTACAGACCTTTCTTAATATCCAAATGAATTAATCAGTAATGCCTTTTTGTAGAATCACCCTTACTTTAAGACACAATTTAACTGTCATCTATTCAGAGAAGTTCTCCCTGATCCTCACAGCTAAAAAAGATCTCTTTCTTCTAATAACTAACTTTATCATTTCAATTATACTACTCACATGCTAATATATTACATGCTATTCTATATTATAGTTGTTCCGATCTGGTCTTATCGCTCCTACTAGACTGAAGTCTTTTAGCACAAAGATTGTGTCTTATTCATCATGGGGTTTGCATACAGTAGAGCTTAATTTGTTCAATGAATGAACAAATTTGTAGTTGAAGATAAAAGGTTGTAAATGGCAAACCTGATCTAGATAATTTATAAAACAGCTCTAAATTCTTAATCTCAAATATGTTTAAGCTTCCCAAATCAGAATGGAAAAAGTTATTTATGCCAGCTCAAAATGGCAATCCTTCCATTTTTGGAACAAAGACAATTAAAGACTACATGTTTAAATGTTGTATGCTTTAAGATCTTCCATATTCTCTCAGTTGAGAATACTACACATTCTTCAGGACTCCTTAAAGGTAGCCATCTATCTCAAAGACTTCCAGAGATGGAGCAATACCTACAAAGACAGACTATATTACAGATGGGAAAATACAATTACATACAAATTCTTTAACTTTTGAATAAGAACCTGCTCCCTTTCATTTCTACTCAGGGAGATAAAGCATAATTTAAAATTTTTAAAAGAAAAGCTACTCTATATGTATACACAACATCGTAACTGAATTTAGGAAATACATATCCCTAAATCACCGATTGTTAGGGATATAGTTAAGCATTTGGAATAAAGTCCTGGATCTTATATAAAATACAAACAGTCATAAAATTTAGTACATGGGTAGTTAAGAATAACAACTTAATACATGGCATTGTTTATGAATTCCTGATAAGCCTCATTTCAACTGTTATTTTATAATAGATACATGAAAGAACAGATCTACACTATAATATTAACAAATGTATATATATAATGATTTATAAATATGTATGTTAATAGATGCATTTTAAAAATACTAATATGTGAAATGGGTTTTCATTCTAGCTCTTGGCTTTAAAGTCCTTCCTAAAATGTTATATATTCAATAATTTGTTGAGAACCCACTATCTGGTTTCTTTTTTTTTTTCACCCCAATTAAAAAATGGGAAAAGTAGCAATTTCTCTCTTTCTGATTCTTTCTTAAGTTGATCAGGTGTACATTTATAAGTTAATTTCTATAAAAAATTTCCTCTGTGTACCTTGAAATTAGTAGGTGTTAAGTCTATGAACTCAATGGGTTATGTGATTTGAAAAATATTAACTTATGATTGAGTGCTATGGAGCATGCAAGATGTGAATTATATATGATTATCTAGAAAAGGAGGCAGGAAGGCATTCAGGTACCCATTCTCCCCACTTACAGCCCACCAAATCTAACCCACTACAATATCATAGTGTTGAGTGATTAGAGAGGGCAGTACAGCCCTATGTGGCACAGGATACTCAGAAAAATTCACTGCTCAAAAATTTCTCTAACATTCTACCAAATAAAAATTCATCTGGTTAGTAACTGATTTGAAATGGCAAATACCATGTGAGGGGTAGAGGGAGGGAGGAACAACAGCCCATTAAGGCATTCACAACTTTCACTTGGGTTACATCAACCACTGTTCTTAAAATCTTACTGAAATCTACAGACATGAAAAACTTCTTTACAGAGGCAACAGATACCAGAGACATGGTAATAAAGACATAGGTTAGAATTCAGGCTCTGCCACTTAATATTTAAAATCTCTTGGGTCAGTTATTTAAATTTCATGAATCTCAATTTCTCTGCTGTACTTCATACACAGCATGGTTATAATGATTAAAAGTGAGAACAGTCAGGCAATAAACTTCTCTCTCTGACCTAAGGATTGTTATTATGTGCAAACTTGAGAAAAATAAGAGGTGGGCACAAAGGAGGAATGCAGGTGTGGGTGAGGACACAATGGCAGAGAACCACAGAGAGCCAGAAGGTTCAATGAGACCCTTAGATGATTGGAGAACTGAAGTAGCAGTTCATAGAAAGAAGCAGAGAATAGAATAAAGATAAAGCATCCTAACTATGCAACAAGTGGCAGTAAATTAAACGCTGGTAACAATGCAAAAACATGTATATTTTTAATGATAAAACTTGAATGTGTGTTAATTGTGGGATTTAACTACAAATCCTAATCATTGCTAAATAGGTTTTCTGTTTATTTTGAGAACATAGTTGTATTACAACATTATGCCAACGTAAGAGCTAGTAGTTACGTTTTTAGACCCTTGTAGTCAAATTTTAGATCTTGGCCAATCTTCAGAGCCTTTTGTTAACAAGAAAATTTCCCCAAATTTTGTGGTAGTCTAATACACATTTGGGAATTAATTGTTATGTTAAAAGCTTATTAAAACTGATTAATGACAGCAACAGTATAAATTTTATTGCTGATTCCTCTCTACTCAGGATAATTAAAAGCTAACCTTGTCATATTTCAATGACTTAAGTAACTTCTACTTGCCGCAATGGTTCTCCCTCTCAATCATGACAACGATACACATGTTAAATTCAAAAGGAACATCTAAACTGTGGCCAGCTGCTTTAACAAGTGAAAATGAATTCAAAACCAAATTGAGCTCTTATATTTTTAAGTGTTTTTTTTTTTTAAGTTTATTTATTTATTTGACAGACACATAGCAAGAGAGAAAACACAAGCAGGGGGAGTGGAAGTAACAGGGTTCTATGGCTGCTCTATGAAACTATTCATTACAGGAATTACATTGGAATCTAGATGCAATAGTCCATTTAGTTCACAGTTCCATATAACGCAGTGCTACCCTAAAAATAAATTCGGGACAGTTTATTTAAAAGATTTTCCCACTGTGGTACTATAGAATAGATCTTCCATATGCAATATTAAGTCACCATTATACTATCTTTAGTCTTAAAATCCTTAGGAAGAACTATAACTCATAGGTTCTAACTTTATTCTGACAAATTTGTGCTACAGCTTCTTTATCTACTGTAACTATTCTATCTGCAGGCTTTCCTCCTACTACAGTAGTAATAATCTATTGAAAATAATGCTTTTATCATGTCTATTCCTACACACCTGTAAAAAATCCTTAATTCAATCAAATTAAACATAAACTACTTGTGTGGAACTCAAATCTTCCCAAACCTGTACTGCATCCTAATATAATATTCTTATTACCATAGTCTAGCCCATGCAACCTTTATAAAACTAAACATGCCTTGCCTTTTCTACCTTTTTACTAATCCCTTAACTTTAAATAAAGTTCCTATATTTCAAAACAAAAGCTATCCTTTTAGATTAGCTCAAATTCATCCATTCACTTAACATATTAAACCCTTAGCATGTGCCAAGGACAATTCTAGATCCTGGAAACATTCAAAAACACATGATTACTGGCCTCCGAGTGTTCCAGGTCCAGTGTGAAGCCCTTCCTAATTATCTCTTTTGAAAGTGGACTTCTTTTCTCAGTGTTTAAAACAAGAAAGGCTTACACTTACCTTGTAATAGATAATGTGTGTGTGTGTGTGTGTGTGTGTGTGTGTGTGTGTGTGTGTGTGGCATCTATTAAATTAGAACTTTTAGCTTCTTAGGGGTAGAAACCATGTCTATTTTTCTGCCCAAGAACACAGCTTTCTATATAACAGGTGCTCAAAATTATTTTGTTGTGGTATGTTAGAGTGAAAAACTAAGTGTACAAATTCTGTATCATGATAAAATCATCTTTTCTCTCAGAAAACTCTAAGGATTAGAATGTGTTAACAATTCAGAAAATTCAGATGTTAGCAATTAGTACTACAAAGAGAAGGCTAACTTCTGCTTTGATAAACAGAATGGAAAAGGCTTATCAGGCAGCAAAGAGAAAGGGCTAAGGTAGAGAAGACAAAATTTGAATTAAAATCATAAAATTTGAAAATATTTTCTTTCATTTCCAAGGGAAGGAGGGGGAAATCATAGTTCTTATAGATAAGTAGCTGAAATACAGTATATTACTCAAAACCAATCTAAGAACATAGACATTTTGGGGACTCTGAGTAAGCAAAAGAACTAACCTCATTAATTCCTCCACTTTATCATCTACATCTAGGTCCTCTTCTGAGGCTTCAAAACTGTAAGACCTCTGACCCATGCTGTTTGCATGGTAGCGAGTGGGTGACATCTTTCCATTGGACGTGGATAATCGCTCATTATTCTCCCTCCCATTTTGATTAGTAGTGCAAGGCTGTGGGGAGGTATCGTAACTGTTGCTAGGAGATGGGGACATTCCAGAATGCTGGGTCTGTGTGGAAGCTGTAGCTGTAGAGGAAGATGCTGGAACATTGTTGGTACTATTTCCATAAGAACTTCCTCCATAGCTGGACCTTCTTCCAAACTTGTCACTATGCTCTTGATCAAGACGGTCCAAAGTTTCCAAGGCATGGAGAATTTCATGTTTAGTCATTCCAGTACGCCGAAGGCGCTGAAGCAGATCTATCTGCTCTATGGTAAATCTGGGTTCATCTGTATAGTGAGACATGGTTTCCAGCAAACTAAAAAAAAACAAAAACAAAAAAAAACCTTTTATTTGCAACATGTACCAAAGAACATATCATTATAGAGAATGCTCAGGAGATGATGCAAAATATTTCTACAAGAATTTCCTTACTGAAAATGATTAACACATTATTATTATAATAAGTTATTATCACTCCATGCTAAAATGTTTTTGGCATGGCAAATGGATTGGTACAGTTACTGAGTTTATTAGCAGATGGACATTAGGTGTAACACAAAACCCAATTTCATATGGCATACAATTTACACTTTCCTCAATTTGGTAAATATCTGAACCAAAATTTCAGTTATGGCAATAATACCAAAACAAGAGATTACATACATACACTTTTAATACTAGTCTGTGTTATCCACAGGTGTTTTTTCCATCTCAAATTCATTACTCTACATTAGAGTACTATTAATGAAAAGTTATTGTGAAAACAGTTTGTATTATCTGGTTTTAATAAATATCAGCAAAACTGACCTAAGAAGTCTGTATCTTCATTTAGTGTAAACAAATGACTTGGTAAGGTAAGCTCAGGCAAATACTAATAACCAGAAAAAATTTAAATGGAAAAATAAGAAGGTACATAAAAAAACTTATTAAGCACCATTTCACCCACCACTTAGCAATTTTGTTCAGTATCTCATTTCTGTAATGCATTCTCTCTTAATAGTTATCCCGAGAAATGGATCTTTCATGGTTGCAGCCAAACTATTCATTTTTCTTGGGAAATTGCTTCCACATTATGTTTCCTTTAACTAACACAAGAAACTGTAGCACGCCAGAAAATGTCAGTCATAACAATATTAAGTTTAAGCAAATTATCAAATTTAAAAATTCTCACTACTTGAATTCCTTTCTTATAAAACCTGACTTTCCTAATCTAAGATTTTTTTAAAGTTCTTTTATAGTTCTAGTGCCAAATAGGATGCATGGCATACAGTAGGCTCTTAATAAATGTTTGCTAACGGAAATGAATGTCAAGGAATTTTCTCCTCCTTTACAGGTAAACATCTGTTCTGGGCCAGTTCCCCACAGCTGTTCAAAGTCTGTTTCTTCAGGGGCGCCTGGGTGGCTCAGTTGGTTAAGCGACTGCCTTCGGCTCAGGTCATGATCCTGGAGTCCCAGGATCGAGTCCCGCTTTGGGCTCCCTGCTCAGCGAGGAGCCTGCTTCTCCCTCTAACCCTCCCCCCTCTCATGTACTCTCTCTCTCTCTCTCATTCTCACTCTCTCAAAATAAATAAATAAATCTTTGAAAAAACAAAGTCTGTTTCTTCATTCCTCTACACTAAAAATTTACTGAACATTCACTTCTAGGCAGGCATTGGGCAAGAGTTTCATAGAATGTAATTTCATCTGATTGTGAGCAACAAAGTCCTGTGGCAGACTTTTAAAATCTTATATTGACTGATCACTGAGGAAACTAAGTCTCAGAGTGGTTCTGTACCTTGCAAAAAGTCTGATTAAGAGTAGAAAAAAGATTTAAACCTAGATCTTACTGACTCCAAAATCATCTATTATTCTGCTTTCCAACATACAGCAGGACTTACTGGAATCCTATGATTTGGGATATAGGCTATTGAACTTTTTTAAGTCTCCAGTTAAAACCACTTAGGGGGTGCCTAGGTGGCTCAGTCAGTTGAGCAGCTGCCTTCGGCTCAGGTCATGATGCCAGGGTCCTGGGATGGAGCCCCACATCAGGCTCCTTGCTCAGCGGGGAGCCTGCTTCTCCCCTGCCTGCCGGTCCCCCTCTTGTGCTTGCTCTCTTGTCTCTGTCTCCCTCTCTCTATTGTTCTCTCTGTGTCAAATAAATAAATAAATAATCTTAAAAAAAAAACACTTAGCTAAAACCACTCTACTGATGGACTAGAGATCCTAGTAATAGGTTTTTAAATTTAAATCTTTGCTCCACCTGGAATTTATATTTACTTAATGAATGTGAAAGGATTTGAGCTTTATTTTTTCCCAGATGCATAGGTGGCTGTCCAATATGCTTTACTGAGTAATATGTCTCTTCTCTTCTAATCTGAAATATAACCTTTTTCATACACAAAATTTCCACACAAATCTCGATCTACCTTTGGATTCTCTGTTCTGTTCCATTGATTGTTTTGTCTTTCAGATCCTTCTAAAAATAAGCAGGCAGAAATCTAGAATTTTCATGTGAAATCACTCTACTTTTAGAGACAGGCTAATTAAAAATAAAGCAAACACATTTTGTGGACCACAAATAACATGCTGCAAGCCATTTGTGGTCATAGGTCACGATGTCTGCCCTAGACTTGTACGTTATCTTCCGCTTTCTTCCAATACTCACTGCGACAAGCTATCTGTGATACAAGTCCTATTTTCATAATTATTACATTCTTTCTTGATTGCCTGGGTTTTTCCTCCAACATTTTATAATGAAAAACATTAAACATACACAAAAATTAAAAGAAATTTGCAGTGAACACTCACATACTAACCATCTATATTTCACTGTTAACATTTTACTTGCTTTATAACTTAACTATCCCTTCCCTTATGTAGCCATACCTATATTCATCTTATTTTTTATGCATTTTAAAATCAGTTACAGACATCTGTACACTTTCTCCTATATATTTCCACATGCATTGCATTAATTAGAACCCAGTATTTGTTCAGCTTTTTCTTTTGAGGAAAAATTTACATAAAAGAAAATACACAAGTCTTATGTTTACCATTCTATGACTTTTGAGAAGTACATACTGTAAAAAAGAAATATATTACCTGTGAAAACGCCTGTGAAGATACAGAATATTACTAACATCCCAAGAAGTGCCCCCTTCCCAGTTAATCCTTGGCCCCTTCTCTCACAGGGAACCACTGCTCAGATTTTTCCCATCACAGATTAGTTTTCCCTGTTATAGAACTTTACATAAATGGAATTTCTACATACTCTTTTCACTCAGCATAAAGTTTTTGAGATTCATGTCCAATGTAGTGTGTATCAGCAGTTTGTTCCTTTTTATTGTTGAGTAGTACTTCATTATAGGAATATACTCCATGTTTGTTTATCCATCCTATTTTAGACACATGGACTGTTTCCAATCATTAGCTATTCTAACTGCTTTGGCTATGGGGCACCTGGGTGGCTCAGTCAGTTAAACATCCAACTCTTGGTTTTGGCTCAGGTCATGATCTCATGGGTTGTGGGGTCAAGCCCCGTGTCAGTCTCCTGGCTCAGCAAGGAGTCTGCTTGAAGATTCTCTCCCTCTGCCCCTCTCCCAGCTCACGAGGTCATACTCTCTCTCACTCAAACAAATAAATCTTTAAATGCTTTGGCTATTACAATTGTACTTTACTACTTGTTAGCTTAATATATCCCCCTCCCTAATATATCATCATCTAGTTGGGAGAGAAGAGAAAACTGCAACCAGAGTTAACTCATTTATTTTTTTCTCCTGACCAATTTCAAAAGAACAATATACCTGGCTTCACATAAATGATTAAAATGTTATGCAGTGTTGGTAATGTTCTGTTCTATGCCAATTATATTACACTGGAATATACAGTGTGAATATCCACCAAGTAGTGACTACTGATTTGTGCATTTTCAGTAGGTATATTAGGCTTAAATAAAGTTTGTTGAAAGAGCTATGTGAACATTTTCCAAGTGGCTTATAAGAGACACTTAATACTTTAGTTTCTGTTATAACCCTTAGCCATTTGTCTGCTCTACCAGTGCTTAGCAACATATTAAACCCTAATCCTAGGAACTTCTCTTTAAAAGCAGATGCCAAATGACACAAACAAATGGAAACATATTCCATGCTCATGGATTGTAAAAACCAATACTGTTAAAATGTCCATACTACCAAAGCAATCTATAGATTTAATGCAATTGCTATCAAAACACTAACAGCATTTTTCATAAAACTAGAGCAAATAATCCTAAAATTTGTATGGAACCACAAAAGACCCAAATAGCCAAAACAATTTGGAAAAAGAAGAACTAAACTGTACGTATCACCATCCCAGATTTCAAGATATACTACAAATCACTAGTAATCAAAACAGTATGGTATTGGCACAGAAATAAACACACAGATCAATAGAACAGAATAGAAAGCTCAGAAATAATCCCATGATTATGTGGTTAAGTAATCTTCGACAAAGGAGGCAAGAATATGCAATAGGAAAAAACTCTTCAACAAATGGTGTTGGGAAAACTGAACTACATGCAAACGAGTGAAACTGGACCACTTTCTTATACCATACACAAAAGTAAACTCAAAATGGATTAAGGACCTAAATGTGAGACCTGAAACCATAAAAATCCTAAAAGAGGGCACACACAGTAGTGTCTCTGACACTGGCCATGACAACACCTTTCTAGATATGTCTTCTGAGGCAAGGGAAAGAAAAACAAAAATAAACAATTGGGACTACATCAAAATAAAAAGCTTATGCATAGCAAAAGAAACAAAACTAAAAGACAACCTACTAAACGGGAGAAGAGATTTGCAAATGATATACCCAATAAAGGGTCAGTATCCAAAATATATAAAGAATTTATACAACTTAACACCAAAAAACCCAAATAATCCAATTCAAAAATGGGCAGAGGACTTGAATAGATATTTTTCTAAAGACATATAGATGGCCAAAAGACATATGAAAAGATGTTCAACATCACTCATCATCAAGGAAATGCAAATCAAAACTACAATGAGGTATCACCTCACCTGTCAGAATGGTTAACGTCAAAAACACAAGAAACAAGAAGTATTGGTGAGGATGTGGAGAAAAAGGAACTCATGTGCACTGTGGGTGAGAATACAAACTGGTGCAGCCACTGTGGAAAATAGTATGGAGGTGCCTCAAAAAATTAAAAATAGAACTATCCTATGATCCAGTAATTCCACTACTGGGTATTTACCCAAAGAAAATGAAAACACTAATTCAAAAAGATAGATGCACCCCTATGTTTATTGCAACATTATTAACAATAGTCAAATTATGGAAGCAGCCTAAATGTCCACTGTTAAATGAATGGATAAAGAAGATGTAGTGTATATACATATATATACATAGAGAGAGAGAGAGAGAGAGAGAGAGAGGAATGTTAGTCATAAAAATAATGAAATCTTCCCATTTGTAACCACATGGATAGAACTAGAGAGTATAAATCTAAGTGAAATAAGTCAGTCAAAGACAAAGACCATGATTTCACTCATGTGGAATTTAAGGAACAAAACAAATTGTACAAAGAATAAAAGAGACAAATAAAAAAAACAGACTCAACTATAGGGAACAAACTGTGAGAGGGGAGGTAGGTGAGGGATGGGTGAAACAGGTGAAGGGGACTAAAAGTACACATCATGATGAGCACTGAGTAATGTACAGAATTGGTGAATCACTATATGGTAAATTTGAAACTAATATAACACTGTATATTAAATGTTCTGGAATTAAAATTAGAAATTAAAAACAGGGGCGCTTGCGTGGCTCAGCCGGTTAAATGTCTACCTTTGGCTCAGGTCATGATCCCAGGGTTCTGGGATCGAGCCCCACACCGGGCTCCCTGCTCAGCGGTGAGTCTGCTTGTCCCTCTCTCTCCCCCTGCCCTTCCCCCTGCTTGTGATGCACTCTCTCTCAAATAAATTTTAAAAATCTTTAAATAAATAAATGTAACTGTCCAATCCCTTTAGAATCCAAATAATTAACCCCTGAATTTACTGATTTGGTAAGCTGAGGTTTCTATACATTATTCTTTCCCCTTGTAAATAAAGTAGACCTGTCCTTTGCTAATTTCAGTCTTAATGCTTTCAAAATACACCATAAACTGACCTTAGTTTAAATGAGACTTCGAGAACTGTTTTTATTATATGGACAAAAAACATCAATCCAGATTTTTTCCTATTTATTTTCCTATCCTATTTATATCAGAGCACGTAGTATCTGTATATAATTCTTTAAACCTTTTTCTGTATGGAGCAGCACACTGTATGACAGCATAAAACTAAAATAAATTTTATATGAATTTAACCTGTTATTGAAAAATACCATCCCAAAGCTTATATTAGAACTACCAAGACTCACAGTATCCGAAACAAGTTAATATTTTATGTCATTTCAGATTCACTATGAGAAACATTTTTATTCCAAAAGCCATAAAAGGAGATAACAGAACATACGTATTATTTTTTCAGCCTCGAGTGCCTCACTGTTTCCAACCACATGTTCTTGGGACTGCCTCTTGTAATACCCCACCTCCTAGCCAACAGGGTGGGCACATAAGGAAGCCAAGCCTTGCTCTCCTCAAAACATTTAGGTTAGATCAGCAGGAAAATGGATAGTCACTATAACCGTGCTCAGCTGCAGGAAGATACTAGTCTGATACATTCCTCACAGTGTGAAAGAAGCGACTTTGTAGGAGAATAAAGCAGACATAATAGGAAATGCAGAGCAAAGGAGAAAGCTCTGCAGTGTTCATACTCTTTGTTCTAGTAATTCCTGAGTCCCTGCTACATCTCTGTCCTTCTTGCTATATGTTATATAAGAGCATAAGTTTCCCTTTATGCTATACCTTGTTTAAATTGGATGTTTGTGCCTTGCACCAAGAGAGGTCCCTAGTACAAAGATACACCTAATGTAAAAAGATCTACAATTGCTAAAATGGAATGCATGATCCCTACAGAGTAGAATGATAGTGGCATGACCAGGATCAAATCATGCATATGACACTGAATGTACTATATTTCACTGAGAAAATACCAAGATTAGAAGTTTTCTTGGATATCAAGAATAGTATCTCCATGTGCATTAACATAAACAAAGGTATAGCCTGTCATTTCCACACTTTGTTTCTCATAATTTACCTAGTTTAAGCATGTAATCCTGAAATTATGGCAGTAAATGACCTACAAAGGTCATCTAAATCTATGATACCAGCAATTCTTTTATAACAGAAAAAGATAACATGTAAAAACTGAATTAATTTTCTTATGTAGCACAAGAGCTGTTCACAGGATAAGGAATGTCTTTCAATTTAAATGACTAATCTGAATGCAGACTCAGGCCAACAATAATTGAAAATGATGTGAGAAGAATTTTGACACTGCAGTAACACAGACAATGTTTAAAGCATAAAAGAACAGTGAAATTCAGGAATGATGGCTCAGTTCATAAACTGATATTCCAAAAGACTATACTATTGGACCATAATAGTAAACCTATTTTACAATAAATTTTATCCCTACTTGGATTTGTACCTAAACCCTTCTTAGATTGGCATTTGGTCCAGAACACTTTCTTAAACTAAATTTTACAAACATATAGAGCAAAGAAGGTTAAAGCATTTACAAATGATTAATCTTGAAATCACCGGTACAAAAATGACATTACTACCTTACTTGTAAAGCATTAATAGTTACTAAGAGTTTATTAAAATAACAGCATTTAGCATTTTCTTCAGCTTGATTCTGCTTGCTACCCTTTTATCTAGAATGACTAGGCAAAATATGACCTACTCATAAGTTAGTTTTGTTTCACATACTTTGTATTTACATTCTAGAGGTAATCATAATACCCATCAACTAAAGAAGTACTCAGGCCCTTCTTACTATTTATGGCACATTAGCCTCTTTCACAATTATTATTACCACCAAAGGAGTGGGAATCTTAAAGTTTAAAATGGTAAGAGGGGCACCTGGGTGGCTCAGTCGGTTAAGAGGCTGCCTTTGGCTCAGGTCATGATCCCCGGGTCCTGGGATTGAGCCCCACGTCCAGCTCCCTGCTCAGTGGAGAGCCTGTTTCTCCCTCTCTCTCTGCCTGCCGCTCTGCCTACTTGTGCTTTCTCTGTGTCAAATAAATAAATAAAATCTTAAAAAATAAAAAATAAAAAAATAAAATAAGTGAGAATAAGTAAGAAATGAAGATTTACTGGGGACTGAGCTTGACAGTATGATAAGATGATTCTGTAATTCAAAACAATAGGAGAACTGACTAAAACAAAAGATTAGAGGCTATGACTATAAACGACAATACAAAAATGTTCTTTTCATAATAAAAAGACTTTGAGAAAAATGAGATTATATTCCAATGTGCCAATCATACTATATAATAGTTATTTTTAAATTACCACTGATTAAGATTGAAATTTTCTTACTGTAGCCACCTTATACATGTCTGGGGAAAAAAAATCGAAGTAAAAATATGCAAGTTTATAGAGGGAAATATAAATGAGGTGTGGAATCAGGGAACTGGACACCATTTAGAGAAAAATCATTCATTCAACTAACATTTACTGAATATGGCCTATATGTCAGACCATGTACTTGGCAGAAAGTATTCAACAAGGAACGGATCAGGCAAAAACTCCTGGCCTCATGATGCTTACATTCTAATGGCTATTAAAAACAGCCATTAGCAAGTATATCATTAAAAAAAAAAAAAGGAAACTAAGGCCAAAAGCAATGCAGTGCTCTGCCATTTCCCAAGGATATAGCTATTTAGCAGAAACTCAGGCTACAGTTCACAACACCTGGGCCTATTCCAGAGATTCTTTGATATATGATAGAGTCAATGGGAGAGGGAAAAAACTTTAATGAAAAACCCAAATAATAAAGAAAATCTATGTTAATGTCTACTTATTGGATTATAGAATTGTCAAACAAAATGGAAGGAATTTAATCGAAATACAGACTGCACTGAATTTTAGAAAATACTTATGCTAAAGGCACTCTACATTAGACTCTAAAGATGCACTTAATGAGCTAAAAGATACTTTATCTTCTCTAATATCTGAAATTCCCGGAATACTTTTATTCAGAGCCCTATTTAATACAAACTAGTGGTTACAGTTCATATCCTAGCACAAAAAACTCTCAACATAATACCACCATCTCAATTTGTATTTTTTGCCTGACTCCAAAGAAAGGCTACTGATGACATTAGCTAACAGGCTTAACTACATTATTATCTCCAGGAGGTAAAGGAAAATGGCCAACGTGCTTCGGAGTTTGCACACAAAGGCAGGGTTAAGGTAAATATGCTTCCAATATTCTGCTTGTCACAAGGAATTTAACACTAGCTAGCCATCTATTTTGTAAGTTTCTAACCTATTAAGCAGTTTGAAATAATTAGTAGAGTAGTTTTATGTTAAAAATGAATGTCAGACTTCAAAGTTGAAAATAAATGGTAAAAGAGAAAGTTTGATAGATTTGAAAATTCATTCCTTTCCACTATGATTATGAAAAAATTCTTTCAACTCTGTGAATGCCTGCTGTCATTTTTGGATCATAATCATAATGATTTCTTCACTTTATTAAAAACAATAGGGAAGATAAAAATTAAGAAAAGGACTAGATACTTACACCACTGGAAAGGAACTGAGCATACTTTACATGAGGTGAATCAATATCCTTCCTAGAGATGATCAGCGTTATTAACCATTCTGTAGAATAAAGACAGAAAAATTCAGAAATACTTGTTAATCAATTGTTGAATAAAAATTTTATATAAAGATATTAACAGTCAACATCAGGTAACTATGTTTTTAAAATTATTTTGTACTTTTAAGATGAAATCTTCATTTGATGCAAAATTTAAAAAATAAAAAAATTATGAATAGCTTTTACAATTATTCACTTGGAAAAAGTAATAAAAATCATACTCCTGAAATTTAATGTTATCAGACACCACCCAGGGAAACAGATATAAATGTGCGATGGAATGTATATATTACTGTGACATTTGAGAACACTATTTGATAATAATATCAGTGCATTTATGCAGCACCCTATAAGCAAAAAACCCACCACAACATGACTACAGCTAAAGGTCTTAACTGTGGGGTAAATTCTGGGGTCTAGTTCCAAGTATATTTGTACTTATTTTCCTGCTAGCCAAATCTTGAGTGACTTAATTTCTCTAAGTCTCAATTTCTGCATCTATAAAACAGGGATGATCCAAAACTACCTCAAAGAGCTACAAGAAGTTAAAACATTTTTTTAAAATGGCGATGAAAGCACTTCACAAGCTATCAAGTAGCAGGGGCTATTATTAACAATTTAAAAAGGAGATTAGTATCCATGTTATTTTAGATTACTGAACACAGTGGAAGTTAATAATTGAGTGAGTCTAGTACTTCTATCTTCTGATTAGCATTCTACTGCTTTATTCACCATTCAGACCCTGTGACCCCTTTCAATTCAGACATAGATTCTAACAAAAAATGAAATCTACTATTCACGGATTAGGAGCTAAAGATCATGTATTACTGATTGAACTTATTAGCAGTTTCAAACCACAATCTATAGAAGCAACAATTTCCATTAACTCAAAGTTAAGATTATAAATTATACGAAAGTTAAAAACGTTGATGTCAAAACTCTCACATTAAAATACACATTCAGTACTAATTATATTAAGCAAGACCAAAGTGTCTAACAGTGACTAATGATATATGCGAAATGTACAGGGTAAAGTTAGAAACCTTTCACATTTGCATATCCTAAGTTGTAGCTTTAATGAAGTTCCTGTTGTAGTTAATTTTCTTGCTGACTTAAGAAATACCTGTCCTAAAAAAAAGTAGATATAAAGTACAAAGAAAATCTACTGAAAGTGTTGCTGATTGCAAAAATATCCAAACTAAGCCAAAAAACTGATTACTGGTCAATATACATTTTTCGTTCTTGCTCAAATTCAGTTAAAATATATTAAAGATCTACTTGCCCTGACAGAAACACAAAGTCATAATAAGAAGTAAGGTATGGTCCCAGTAGTGTAGGAGCATATTAAACTGTAAAAGAAGGTCAAATAAAAATTAAACACACACACACACACACAAACACCTCTATAATAAAATGCATAATGTGGTAAGACTAAAAATACAAGGTTTATAAGAGTAACAATTTAGAGATTAATTTAGGCTACAGAGAACTGGGAAGACTTCTTAGAGTGAGATCTCAGCTGTTATCTGAAGATCAGAATAAGACTTCCACCAAACCTAGGTGTGAAGGCAGGTGAGAATCAGTGGAAGAAAGATTCCAGGGAGAAGGAACAGTTAAAAAAGACGACGAGCTAGATTTAAGGATTAAGTAGACCTATGTGGCTGGCCTTTTACATATATGCACGAGAAATACATAGGCTAGAAAGGGAAGACTTCCACAATCTGTGGAAGGCTGGTAAAAGTCTCACAGCAATTCTGACTTTTATTCTGCAAATATGGGGACTATGGTAACAACCAAATCAGACAATCTAGGAAGTAAATTACCAAAGACTCTTATTTCACAGGTGAGGAAACTGAGATTAAGTCACTGATACAGACTTGGTGTACTGCAAATCACTGAGTTTCTGTTATTTATATTATGGGTATAAATGGGCTTAAAATATTCAATAGAACTAAAATATTCTAAGGACAGAAGAGTAAGCAAGTAAGGTGGTGCTATGAGTTCTCTATTCTCAGACTCAATGTCACAAAGCCCTCCCTGCATAGGAGACAGATTTTTTTTTAATTGACAGATTTTTAAAAAATTGTTTTAAAAATGAGTTTAATAAATATTAAAATTTATTTAAATGAGTTTAAATTAAAATTAATATCACAGCCATTTGAAAGGCCATTATCAGGGGTGCCTGAGTGGCTCAGTCAGTTAAGCGTCTCTTGGTTTCAGGTCAGGTCATGATCACATGATCATGAGATCATGAGATCTTGAGAATGAGCCCTGCATCAGACTCTCTCTTCCTCTTCCTCCGCACCCCCCAACCCTGCACATGCGTGTTCTCTCTCAAATAAATAAATAAATCTTAAAAAAGGGGGCGGTCATTATCGATAAAACATAACATAACAAGTATTGGCAAAGATGTGGAGAAAATGAAACTTTCCTGGTGTTGCTGGTAAGAATGTAAAATAGTGCAGTCATTATGGAAAACAGTATGGAGGTTTTTCAAAAATTAAAAATAGAACTACCTTATGATCCAGTAATTCTATTACTGGGTATTTATCAAAGAAAATGAAAGCACTAAATCAAAAATATATATGCACCCCTATGTTTATTGCAGGATTATTTATAATAGCCAAAATATGAAAGCAACCTAAGTGTCCACTGATAGATGAATGGATAAAGATGTGCCATATATATATATATAAATGCAATATTACTCAGCCATAAAAAAGAACGCAATCTGAGATAGCAAGACAGACCCAGAGGGTCAGATATAAGTCAGACTGATAAAGACAAATACCATATAATTTCACTCATATATGGAATCTAAAAAATAAAACAAATGAAAAAACAAGGAAACAAAAAGCAGAATCAGACCTATAAATACAGAAAAATACACTGATGGTTGCCAGAGGGAAGGGAGGTGGGGGGGATGAGCAAAATGGGTAAAGGAAAAAGTGGGAGATACAGGCTTCCATGTTATGTCATGGGAATAAAAGGTACAGCATGTGGGATATAGTCAGTGATATCGCAAAAGCATTGTGTGGTGACAGATGGTAGATACACTTGTGGTGACCACAGCATAACATTTAGAGTTGTTGAATCACTATGTTGTACTCCAGAAACTAATGTAATACTGTGTGTCAACTACACTCAAAAAAAAACTTCAAAAAAGAAAAGAAATCTGAACTTAAAAAAAAAAGAGGTTTTTAGGGATAAAAGTTCATGGATGCTGGATCACATCAAGAACCCAGCTCTAAAAAGCAAATAACCTATAAAAGTTAAACAGCTCCTCATTGGACCCTTCATCTTTTGTACTTTAAAAAGAGAGGGCTCCTGGGTAGTTCAGGTGGGTAAGTATCTGACTCTTGATTTCGGCTCAGGTTGTGATCTCAGGGTCATGAAATCGAGCCCCCCACCTCTCAGACTCTGTGGTCAGCGGGGAGTCTGCTGAAGATTCTCTCCCTCACCCACTACCACTGTCCCCCCCCTGCGTGCACGCGCTTTCTCTCTAAAATAAAGCAATCTTTAAAAAATAATTTAAAGAAGAGAGTTAAAGAACATTCACAGATGACAGTGATGAAAGAATCCTGTGCCAACAAGCTTACATTTTGATACATGAAAAAAACTGCAAATATGCAAAAATTCAGAGAGTGTATTTTCTCAGGCACCCCAATTAAGAAAAATAATTGAGGAAAGGTTCTAACTAAGAAAAAATAAACCAGAAAAAGAGATGTGGTAACAGGGAAGATGAAAAAAGGAGTAATATTGTAATCAAAGAAGCTTTCAGTTTATATTATATAATATACATTTAAATAATAACCAAATGTCTAGGAATGTATAACTTATATGATAAAGACTCTTGAAACAAAAAGACTATATCATATAAACATTTTAATAAATTTCTAAACTATTCAAAGTAAAAGAGTTGTAGACAGGTGAGATGAAGGTGGGCAGAAGTAAAAATACTTCCAAAATCTCATGAGGAAAAAGAGGATAAGGGGAAAAAGGAAAAGAGGCAGAAAATAAAAGTATTCTAAAGGTCTCATCTTTTCAAGGTCAAGAAGCCACCAGGGAAAGCAATGAGCATCTTTTGAGGGAAAAGAGTATTTTGTTTTCAGGTAACTGCAAAGAAGCATGTATCAGTCAAGGTATAATTTTAAGGTCAAAAGTATTTAGCAGGATAAAGAAAAATATTATACAATTATAAAATACACAGTTTATGACTAAAATGTAAGAGTTAAAAAACTGTATATACCAAACATAGGTAATTAAGTAAAACTTATTAGAACTTTAATAAATTTATTTTTTATATTCTTTTTTTTAAATAATTTTTTATTGTTATGTTAATCACCATACATTACATCATTAGATTTTTATGTAGTGTTCCATGATTCATTGTTTGTGCATAACACCCAGTGCTCCACGCAGAACGTGCCCTCTTTAATA